GAAGTAGTGGAACCCCAAGCGCATGGCATCTCGTCATTTCTGCACCTTGTGGCTAACCCTTAGAATAGACGTGCAGCAAGATAGCTACCGTAGGCGTAGGCCAATCAGTTGTGCAACTCTCTTGTGGTTCGTGAGTAGGTAACTTAGTGGCTATCCCGAACAACGGAATATTTCGCCTTGACAGAAAGTCAATGCGTCAAGGACTGAGCACGCACACGGACGGACGGTGTCAGCACTTGGTTCAGCTGTTGGGTTTGGATCAAGCTGAACTTTGCGGCAAGGATTGGAGCGAGCTGCATTCTAGAAAACTTCTCAACTTCCGAATGGGCCAGATAACCCTGGGATGACCCAGTCTTGGCTGTTGAAGCAAGCTTTAGCCTGGCTTTAGGCGAGAGGAAAGACGTGCAGATTGTTTTCGTGTGTTGGCTGTTGAAAATTTTCATGTTATGATGAAGCTGCTGGCACTCAGAACATGTACCAAGCCTACCATTCGCAATTGTTGGCTTTTGCCCATATAACACTCCCAAGTCATGGATGTGTCCACCGGTAGGAGACGCCATAGCCACACCTGGAGATCATCATTCATTCTCACCCCCATCGGGAGAGAACAGATCGCCGTGGTGAAGACAACTGAGAACATGGCGGAAGCAGTCCCACCCCATCCCCGCCAGGCGGAGGGAGGGAGGGAGGGAGGACTGGACCGTACTTACATACATATGGGGTCCGGGGTTTGGCCCTCTGATCCCTGCCAACTATAGATTTACTGTCGACATCGTGTTGCTTCTTCTGTGGTTGATCCTTGGCCCTTGGAACCCTTGATAAGGCACGACATGACAAGACCGACAAGTGGAGGTGATAAGCGGCTATGTATGTATAAATCTTGACTGATAACAGCCTAAGGCCTCGAATTGTTTCCCGTGTAATATTCTTCAGTTCATCTAGAGCAAAACTTTGGTTGTTCCAGCGAGAAATCAACCCCGAGACACTGTTCTGGACAGCACAAGATGTTTCCTACTATGCAAGGTAATGAGAGAGGACTGAGGACTGGAAGGTTGGTTCTTGGTTAAAGTTCTGCCCTTCGTCTGGAACTTGGAGGGGATGGATATCCCCCGATTGGTGTGATACACGGCTGGCAAGGTTAGTAGGTTAGTACCTTAGTAGGTAGGCAAATGCGGAAATACATGCATACATACATAATGGTACTCGAGGAGATTGCTATCAAAAAGGAAAGGCTCAGTTGAGACAAGAGAACCTCTGTGGCCACTTTTGCACCGAACAATGCGGACACCTTATCTGGTAATTATGCTCTCTTCTCTCATCAGTCTTGTTCAGCTTGACCTACGAGCATTGCAGAATCAAGCATGCCTCCACTGGCCTTGATCTTCTCGCAGCAAGCCACCCTTGGCCACCACCAACTCTTGAGACAAATTGATCACTTCTCAAATTCACTTCATGTCCCAGAAGTACGACGCAGGTAGGTAGTCAGCGGGGGATATGACTCGGCCCGTTGTCTAAAAGGCAGCCCTGCAATCTGAGACTCAACATGGCGTATCCATTGGCTGGTGGCTAACGACGGTTGGAAAACCGTTGACGACAGCTCTCGAGAGCTGGAACTGTCGAAATGGTCATGTTCCTTTTGTCCATCCATGGATGCCAATGAGACCGCTATTTGCACGGACACTCAAGCTTGGCCGGCCTTTCTCACACTGGGTTCCTCCCTCTGTTTGTTCCAGGTCGATATCAAAGCAATGCCTTGTCTTTAAATGCAGTCGTTGACGTTCCAGACACGTGCACCAATGACACTCTGTAGCTGTCATGGATGTCTTCCACAATCTCGCTCACCGCGATCTCGGGTTGATTAGGGACCACACCACGACGCTGCTTGTGCATGGCTACCTACAGTAGGACAAACATGGTCCCCGGTACACCTGGCCGTCTTCCGCCGCGGCGGAGGCATGCAACAGTATCTACGGCACACGTTCGTCACAACTGATGATCTTGTTTCCTTTTTAGAGCGGGCACCAGTAGTGGCCAGCATTGCCAAAACCCTCAGCACTCGTGTAAGCCGTGATCACGACAAGACTCATTTTCTTCTGGGCCCCAGCACGCCTTGTAGCCCTCCTCTGTCAGCGCCTGGACACCTGTCACCAAACCAACTACTAAGCTAGGTAGGTACCTACTAACCTACTACAATGTCCCTGTTCACGATTTTCCAGGACGACCCAGGAGGTAGACGCCGCTATTAGACCCTTGATAGCGCGCCCCGCGAACAAGCATTAGGGCCCTCAGTGACGCCCCATCTGTGCATGCAGGACGCCCGCCTGTTACAGGCTCGTCCGCCAAACATGCACCAGTTCTGCTTGGTGGTCCGGCCTCGGCCCAGGCACATGGCGACCATCTTGCTCTCTTGAGCATCAGGGGCTGTCGTTCTGCCGATACGCCATTGCCATCGTGCTAAGTCCTGCAGCTAGTAGTTTGCGATATGACAACACCTAACCTAACGGAAAGCTCCTCGTTTCCATTCCCACCGATAGCTTGTTGCTTCCTGACTGGGCCTTCTCCCTCCCAATTCAAGCGCCTCAAGACGTCGCTCCACCTTGGCACTGAGCATTTTGATGATGAGCACACGCCCTTGCTTCTGATTGCTCTCGATCCGGACTCCTCTGGCGAATTGCTCCGGAGGTTACTGGCGAGGAGTGTTATCTACTTAAGGGGTGGGAACCCGTCTTCCTCTGGCTCATTCTTCCTCGATCCAACGATACATAGCCCGTGTGAGCCTTTTTACCTGCCCAAACCGGCTCAAGCATTCGTGTCAAACAGCTCGAGGATATCAAGTCTTATATACTTCCATCTCTTACACAAATCCACCACCTACCTAAGGTAGGCACTTGGCACTTGGAGCGCCTCCACGAGCTATCCTAGGCCCTTACCCCCACGCGCTGGCCGTCTCCCACGTTTCCATCTCTTTCCACCAGCCAATCCCCTTTGCTGTATTTGCCCCAAACGGCAACTGATCAAGCCATCGCCCGACCTCAAGTCTCCATTCTCACCAACATCCCACCTTTATCCCACGCTTCAAGCGTTGTTGTTGACAGCTATGGCCCCAGTTGCTACGGGAGAGATCGCACCAACGCATCTACCCGCTGGTCCATCGAAGCCATTGAGCATCAGTGCCTCTGTCTTGCATGGTCCCCGCGATCTGCGACTGGTAAGCCGACCCTGACAACCTCTATGGTTGCTGTCGTTTCAGCCCTACCCGAACACTTGGCTGACTGACCCCGTTGCAGGAAACAAGGACCATTGAGGCTCCGGCCGCAGGGGAGCTTCAAATCGCTATCAAGGCGACTGGCATTTGTGGTTCAGATGTCTCCTACTACAAGAAGTTTGCCAATGGCGATCTCTGTGCCTGCCACCCACTGTCACTAGGCCATGAATCGTCCGGGGAAGTTGTTGCTATTGGTCCTCAAGTGAGCGGCTTCAAGCTGGGCGACCGAGTTGCTCTTGAAGTTGGTGTTGCTTGTGGAAACTGCGGCATCTGCCGTAAAGGTCGTTATAATCTGTGCAAAAAGTTGCGTTTCAGAAGCAGTGCCAAAACCTACCCTCACTACCAAGGCACGTTGCAAGAGAGGATTAACCATCCCGCTGTCTGGTGCCACAAGTAAGCCCAACACGATATTCCTGATAGCCCCGGTTACTGACCCGAATACAGGTTGCCCGACAACGTCTCGTTCGAGGCCGCCGCCCTCCTCGAGCCGCTGTCTGTAGCTATCCATGCGGTGAACCGTGCCAGGCCGGAGCCGGGCTCCACTGCCATTGTTATTGGTGCCGGCACCGTTGGCCTTTTGACTGCCGCAATGGCTCGTCAATCAGGCTGCACATCGGTTACAATCACCGATATCGATGCTGGGCGTGTCAACTATGCCATAAGCCGTGGATTCGCAACCCATGGCTTTGTTACCCCCTTATCTTGTTTGAACTCTCCAAACTATTCTTCTGGAATCTCTACGCCCGAGACTGGTATCATTACTCCTGCCAGCACCTTTTCAACCGCAAGCCGCTTTGATGGAGCCAAATCATTGGCGGCGGATATCCTTGCTTCGGCAAACCCTGCTGGTGCCTTCATGCTTGAGGAGGACGAGGATGGCGTGGATGTCACATTCGAGTGCACTGGAAAGGAGGTATGCATGCACACGAGCTTATATGCCACCAAAGCTGGCGGCAAAGTAATCATGGTGGGCATGGGAACTCCGATCCAGACTCTCCCTCTCTCCGTGGCTCACCTCCGCGAGATTGACATCCTGGGCGTATTCCGGTATTCCAACACATATCCCACCGGTATTCGACTTTTGTGTTCGCAAACTGCGAACCCCTCTGGCTGCAGCCTACCCTCGTTGGACGACATGGTCACCCACCGTTTCAAGGGCCTGGATCAGGCACAACGTGCATTTGAGCTAGCAACACGCACCAGTGACGACGAGGGCAAACTTGTCCTGAAGATTGTTATCGAGGCATAAGATCTTTCTCAAGATTGCCTTTTTACGACTTATGAATGATAGACAAAAAAGATATCCAAAAAGCTACGTATTCCAGTGGCGTATTTCACAGGAAAAGTGTAAATAGATTCTCAGTTATGAAGATACCAGCTACTATGCTGGTAGCTTGGAGGTAAGGTTGGGTTTGATTGAAGAGATACCAAGTATGATGTGAAGTGGCTTAATGGGCTGGAAGAATGGGTTGGCAAAGAGTTCGTCCTGACAGACATAGTCCGCAATATCAACATAGCCGCTTGATCCCATCTTGGCTTGACACATGAAGCCGGAATATCTCCACAAACAACTAGACTCGTGAACATGATATGGCTAACTAGTCTATGATTTAATTCATGTCTAAAACACGATTTGAAGTTGTAATCTACCTCAAACACCAAACGCCCGGCTGAATGCAACTAAGTCGTTTCTGTCGTACGCGTCGTCGTGCCTTCACGCGTATATCTAGCAATATCAGATCAGGAGATCGCCAGCTCCACGAATGTTATAAGCCGCTGGGTCAATGACAAAATCCTGTCCGGGGCCAGGAGGAGCACCACGACGGTGCGACGCCTTTGCGTTTTCGACAACATAGAACTTCTTGCCAACGTCACGGGCCTGGCTGACGCTCTGGACAATGCCGTTGAGGAGTCTCACCAGGTTGACATCATTTGCCTCGTGGAGCATCTCGCGCTCAAATGCGGCTCTGTCCGAGGGAATGACGAGGTCCAGGCGGCTGACGAGGGCCTGGATCTGGCGAAGCACTGTCGCTGATGGAGTGGTATAGTCGGCGTCCATGCTACTGGAATCGGCTGTGTTCCCGTTGATGTACGAGGGAGGAAGACGCTCAAGGTAGGTGGTGAGAAGGAGTATTCGGGACTGGAGCATCTTGATAGCGTTGGCCTTTGCTGTGAGGGCAGCAATTGTTTCGTCCTCTTCCGGCGTCAGAGCAACCTCATCATCCTGCGCAGTCGCCTTGTTGTGATCTTCGTCACGGCTCTCCACTAGTCGGCGTTTGCCCTTGCCATTTGACTCGATGGACAAAAAGGGCTTGTCTTCCTTTTGTGGAGCGGCAGCAGCGTTTCCTCCTGAAGCAGCAACGTAGTTCATGCTGATCATCTCTGTTTCGTCGGTCTCAACCGAGTAGGGAAGCTCTCTGAATTTGAGCTTGAGAGCGGGCTCCCCGTCATCCATCTTCTTGTCCTCTCCATCGTTATCCGCCTTTGGGTCGTCGACTTCATAATTGCTCTCGTAAATAGTGAGTGGAAGTCTGCCACCGACGGAGTGATCAAGGACCTGTTCCGGGTGGAACCCGAGGAGTATGGCTGACTCGTTCCAACCTTCGAGAATCTGATTGTGGATTGGTAGGATAGTCGGGGTCGGACCTGAAGAAGGCAGAAGAGTGTACCACCCAACGAGGTCGAGGTGTCTATCTTTGTGGACAGTGATCACTAGTACATATTTAGAGGGAGACGATGATAGCATGGGCGACTTTACTGACTCTGTTCTAACCGTGCGCCGAATTTCGTGGCATCGAGGAGGTATCCGCCTTGCACATTGGGCTCTTGTCGGGTGTGAGCCTCAAAGGCATGCTCGACTGTGATTTCGCGACCATTTTGTTGACCTAGCAAGACGCCAATGATGGGCCCTTCCTGTTGGCGAAGAGTATGCCGTGTGATGTAATCGGAGATGGTAAGGAGGACCAGTGGGTGAAGAACAGCCTGAAGCTCGGAACTCTTCTGGTTAGAGAGAAGAGGGTTGGCGGGGGTCGAGGCAGCCATGATGAGCTGAGGCGAAGACACTGCGGAGCGTCTAATGTCAGGTGTGTCGCGGAAATTATGAGGTGAAGTTGAGAAGGGGGTTGAGATTAGTGTGTTTGGTATTTGAATGAAGCTATCGTTAGCTTTGGTCAAGGCGGCGTTGGCGTGAAGGATGATGGAGATGAGTTGCTGGTGGACGGATCATGGGAATAAAGATGCCCCGCATCCATGCTAAGGTACCTAGGCTGCTACCTTAGTACCTAGAGCTCCAGGGCTACCTGAGCTAAGCCTGAGAAAGGTAATGGAGACTTGAATGTGGGGTCTGTTCCGTCAGTGATAGCAGCATTAGGTCAGCATTCAATTTCCGTTCTGAACTCGACATTGGCGGCATGTAACCCTGAATTTGTGCCGTCGTTTATTTAGAGTGACATGGATGTCATGACTATACGGAGTACAATGAATCAAATTAAGCATATGTGTGTATGTACTTTATGCTTGTCTGTAGGTATGAGCTGATATAATCCTATTATCAGTCTATTTATGGCATATCTATTGTCTATCCCTTGTTGACATTGACGTGACCTCGCTTGGTTGAGCAGATCCATGCCTATGCCCGTGCCTGTGGCTATGTAGTATGTATTTCTAAGGTGCTTTGATCATCATCCAGGAGTCGAAATCCAATCCGCCAATCCATTTGATACACCAGCTGCTTTGCCATGGTTGCAGGTTACTCGGCACAGCATTCACCAGCGGTAAAATACCTAGGCTTTGCTACTGTGTCGGTTCTTTGTACGAGAACTCAAACAAAAGTCGAATCTGATAAAACTTGTCACCAAGTACAACCCTTTGTTAACTCAAAAAGAAGCTTTCAAGCTTGACCATCTCCACCAATTTTCAAGCCGCTCAAGGCAAGATATGCAAAGCGAATGCAAATGCATCCATCCATCGAATGCAGGCATCTCATTTTGGCTCAGGCGGGCGATTCCACCGGCAAGTCTGTTTCCCTCTTATTATTATTATTGTGGCTTCATTTTCTTTCTTTTCTCATACACCCGAGTCTCACAATTTCCCACATTCCGCCTTTCTTCCTCCTCCTCCTCCTCTTCCTCTTCTCTCTCTGCTTTCCCCGCCATTGATCTGGTTTTCAAGATCCATCATCCTTTATCCTCTTTATCTCCATCAAGATCGTCGTCCCATTGCCTCTTTTCTCCCGCCTTCACCTATTTCAGCCCCTCCTCTTCCTTCTCGGTTGTCTCTCTTTCTCACTGGCTGGACCATAACTGGGATCTTTCCGGCAAATATCAAGCACCCATCTGATCTGAAATAGTCGCACATCGCATTTCTTATCTGCCTCGAATCTTATACTCAATCTCAATCTCTAATTCTCCGATATTCATCGCCCAACCCAGTCTTCGTCGCCGCCGTCAGGTTTGACCAACCTTTGAATTTAGTCTCTCGCCTCCGGCGTCCACTGCCATATTATCTCACCACTCTCATTTTCGGACACGCCCAAACCATGATCGCCGCCTGTGGTCAAAGTACGGACAAAGTGGTCCGCGTGTCGACGGCTTCACATCATTTGAACATCACAACGCCGGCTTTCTACCTGCAGCAACCCACGACACGCACAGTCATGACGCCCCGTAGTGGGAAACGTCCTCATTGTGATAGCATCGACAGCGACTCGCCTGCGCCGAGCAAGAAGTACAAGCAAGCCACCTCTTTCACTTCCGATACTTCTTCGACATCGACAACGTCGACTGCTGGCTCCATCGACTTGGATTATCCTTCAATACAAACACCACTCAGCATTGACACTCTCATGCCGGCCTTCAAGAGCGTGCAGTACGACCGTCCCACCTACCGCTCAGTATCACCACAGCCGCCATCACCCAGATCGCATTGAAGCTCACCTCATTAAAGGTGCTACGAAAGAAACGGCCTCGCATTTTGTTTTGATAACATTGGATACCACTTTGCATCCCTCGGCATAAGCTGAGGGCACTCTTTTCGGCATCAAGGCCAAGAATGATTCCCTTTTTGTCTTTTTACGCGGAACACGAAAAACACCGAGCCTGGACCTCGGTTACCAATACTTGACTTGTCTAATTCTCGGCGTTATACACATAGAGCGGAGGATTTAAAGAGTCACGGTAGACTTTGGTACATATTACATTGGTAGTTAGACGATTGGAATAATGGTTTGGGGGACATGTAGGGCTCAGAAGTCCAGTATTAACGGCAGATGTTGATCAGTTAGTACCTAGGTAATTCATAAATACGCAGCAGCCCCCCCCCCATTGTTGATACAGACAAACGCCAGACCCGTCTCGTAATCGTCATAAATCATATCAGTGCATCTTTGTCAGTCAAATCATCTCCCACCACATGACATCCTCTTCCTGGCAGTGCATGCCGATCTCGAAATTCCGCTCCATTGTGGTCATGGAATTTTCCATGACCAGAAGCTCCACACGCGCCATGGCTGCTCCATCTCCTGTCTGTTTGGCCGCCATGTACTCGGCCATGAGCTCGGCGTGCCGGCTCTCGTAGTCCTGGCGGACACGGCGCCTCCGGGCCGCCGGATCGCACGCTGCGCACGTGTCGTTGAGATGTTGAAATTTGACATTGGGAGTGCATGGGCGAGAGTTTGTGGCCATGCCACATGCTGTGGCATAGTTTGAGAATGTATGGCCGCAAGCCATTGTGGTCTTGATCCTTGTGCACATGTCGATTGCAATTGAGTTTAGGAAATGTTCGAGAGGAGGAAATCGCTGATAATTCGGCGCAATTGCGTATAAGCTGTAAGCCAAAGATGGCGGTCAAGAAGTATTAAAGATGAATGTGATTTTTGAGCGCCGTGGACTTGGAGAAGAGAGAATGCTCACGTTGAAAGCATTTCTTTATTTATAAATCTGTCCATGACAGAATATCAACTAAATTCCAAGAATTCTCCAGCCTATGCCTTCTTTTTGATCCTTTCTGCGATCATAGAGATGGGTCCCCTGTCCAAATCGTCTCTGGTGGATGTCGCATGATGATCATGGCACAAAGGCTTCACCGCCATCCTACGCCTCCCAAGTGCGACTAAGAAATCCAACAAAGAACAGGCCTTAAGGTGTTGAGAGCGGCCGGTGCACTGTGTGATACTGAAATAGCTAATCGGATTGCATCCGCGTCAAAGTCAGTTGCCTGTTTGAGGTATTGGGACCTGAATGTACGCTCGTAATCGCTATTATCCTATTCTAATCTACATATGTATCGTGCTATTTTTTCTTTGCTCTTGTATGAGCTGTCTTGTTTTATGAGGGGAGTTTTCTTTGCTACTAGCCCCATCAACACTGCAAACCCAAACGTCGTATATATCGTCCATCATGACTCTTCCGGCTTTGACTCCTGTCGAACCTGAGAGTTGCCGGCCTCTGGCGATGACTCGGTCTTGGGCTTGATGCTCTTCCATTCCACACCAAGAGCGCAAATCAACTGGGCTAGAGTCAATGCCAGACTCACAAAGAATATCCGCGTAATGGCAACATTGTAGGCGTCCTTCACCAGGGGCATGTACTCGGCCGGAACTATCTTGTTTAGTTCTGTAGCGCCCGCATCGACAATTTTCTTGGGCGTGAGGTTGGGTATATCTGATAAATGCTTGGCGAGAAGCCCGTTAAGCACAGTCTGCCCAACGGAGACAAATATGGCACCACCGAGTTGCTGCGCGAAGAAGGTGATCGAGATTCCGATGGGGATATCCTCCTTGGGAAGTGTTGCTTGAACAGCAAGGCCGGAAGTCTGCATTCCAAGGCCCAAACCGAAGCCAACAAGGAATTGATAGGCTATCCAGTGCGATGAACCGGTGTCTGGCTTGAGCGTGGTCAAGAGCCCTTCTCCAATGGCCATGATACAGGGACATATCAGCATAGATGGGACATAGTAGCCAATGCGCTGGGTGAACGCAGCAGAGAGAATACTAGCTACGACAAGGCTTAGCACCAACGGGATCGTATAAATGCCCGAGTCGACGGGTTTGGCGCCCTTGGTAGCCTGGACTAATAATTTGTAAGCGCATGTTATCAACAAGATGAAGACAGAAGATGGGGCTACTTACACCACAAGGGGAGATAGTAAACGACAATCATCATACCACCACCAACAAACAGCATGGTCCATGCACAGGCCAACATGGTCCTCTGAGTGATGACCTTGGCGGGAACAGTTGCGGTCTCGGGCATCTTGATTTGTATGAGAGCAAAAACGAAGGCTGTAAGAGCGAAGAGAACGAAGAGCAGAATTATTCGCCAGTTGCCCCAGGGATAAGTCGAGCCACCCCATTGAAGGGCCAGGATGAGGCAGATCATGGATGGCACAAAGAAGAATGTTCCGAGCGGGTCTAATCGGGTGATATGTTTGAGAATAGGAACAGATTCGTGCCTCTTGGGTGATATGTGGAGGAAGAAGAAGAGGAAGACCGAGGCGACGAGTCCTACAGGGAGATTCATATAGAAACACCATCGCCAAGTGGCATGTTGAGTGAAGGCGCCTCCAAGAAGAGGTCCAACAACGGACGAGATACCAAAAACCATGCCAAACATAGCTATAAATGTGTAAGCCGTTGCTCGTCTATCCGTAGAGGGGAGAGTTGTATACTTACACTGAAACATTGGCCGCTTATGAAGAGGAATCATAGGAACAATGGACATCATCGACCCGGTCATGATGCCTGCTGAGCCAATGCCAGCAATAGCTCTTCCGATAATGAAAGCAACAGAATTGGGAGCGGCACCACAAATAGCAGAGCCAATCTCGAACAGCAAGATACAGACAAGGAATGTCGTCCTCAAAGGGTAGAATCGATAGATACGACCAAAAATGAGCTGAAAGGCAGCTGTTGTGAGCATGTATGCAGAACCATACCATCCTATGTCGCCCAGACTCTGGAAGTCGTTTGTGATTTGAGGAATGGCAGTTGCAATGATTGTGCGGTCGAGAGCGACGAGAAACATGGCAGCAAAGACGGAGAGGATTATAAGCCAGAACTTGAGTGTCTTTGGTTTGTAGTTCTCCTGAGCTTCTTTGTCGAAAGCTGGGCCCTTGGGGTTCGACTCATCTTCCTTGGGGTCATTTGCTGACTCTTGCTGGTTGCCTTGAGGTGATTGAGGCTTCTCATCTTGTGATGATGTTTTGTTGCTAGGCTCGAATAGAATTTGTGGTTCGGCTGATGAGAGTGAGTTGAATGATTTGCGATCCGGAGCATGAGATTCGGTCTTGTCATGGGGAGACATGGTTGAAGCTGAAGCTGTTCAGTTAGAGAGGCAGGGGGCTTATAAGATGTGATATTATACGGCTTATTAGTATTAGTATATCTGTAGACGTTGGAAAACACTGGAATCTGGTGCTGCTGAGCAAGACGAGGCTTGTTGAACAGGACAATTTGCTAGATATATATCTACACTACAAGTAATCATCGGGCAGACTCAAAACCGAGCCATGCCGCAAGTTGAAACTAGCGGCAGGACCTAGAAGAGATTTACACACAGGAAATGCGCGTGCTCGGTCAATACTCATCCTAACAGAGACAATTGCGAAAATTGACCCGAGAGAAGTGGTTTGACGTAGAATAAGGGTCCCGAAGGTGAAGGGGTCACTTATAGGTCGGATCCGGAGACCACAAAGCTATACTCGATTGGGAAATCAAAGTCGCGAAGGTGCCAAGAGTGTCCCCTCCCTCGGGACCGACGGACATAAACTCATCATGAGCAACACTCGAGCTTGACAACTCTCGGCCATTTTCTTGTCTACTGCCCGAGGAGAGCCTCCCAATGGTACTTCGTCTCTTCTTCATTTCGCCCTTGGATTGCACGTCTTGACCCGCCCTTGATTGTATCTGATCCGCTCAACCTCATCTTCTACACCCATTAACACGCAAAGAGCGAGGGGACCAATCAGTTCAACCCTCCTTACGATATCAACCAGTCTGTCATAAAAAGAGCACGGCCGCCAAGCAAAATTCAAGCTCCCGCTCCCGTAATCTCGGGCCCGAAGATCGCAAACACGCCATAATTATCCATCCAACACATCGCAACGTTCGTCTCCTCTTCTGCAGATCTGTCCTGTCACTGGCCACAAGCAGATGGATGGATGCGTTTGCAGGTCCCTGACTCTGATCCCTACTTACCCACAAGCTACTTTACTGTAGATAGGCAAGTATCTTACTGTAGGGCTGAGAATTTTGACAAGTCTAGTCAGCCAGTCCCTACAGCTGAAAGAGACCTGCAGCTCAGGGAACCCATGAGAGTCTCTCAAATCTGAACAAAAACGCCTCTTTCCGGGGCATACCCCCGCTCTTCATTCGCCGCCACGTCAACACCCAATAACGCGTGGCTGTTGCTGTGTCTTATTGTCTCAGCTCACACTCGCCCGGGCCCGAAACCCCCTTTGCCGTCGCCTCTACCCCTTGCCCGGTCCCGTGCAGATCCGGGATACGTTACCCACTCCGTCGGGGTCAGACCATCCGGCGATTCGGTCCTCTGACACCGTTACTGACTGGCCATGCCCTACCCAAATGGGATTCCCGGTGTCCCCGGATCGGCCCCGCAGCAGCAGCAGCAGCAGTCTCAAGTACAGCAACCTCAGGATCCTTCAGCCATCAAATTAACTCGAGGGACCAGCTGTGTGCTTTGTCAACAGCGTAAGGTCCGCTGTGACAAGAACAAGCCGTGTGCCAACTGTGTAAAGGCCAAGGTTGAATGTCGTGTTATTCCACCCCAGCCTCCTCGACGCCGGAAGAAGCGTCTCCAGGAGAAGGACCTGATCGATCGGCTTAAAAAGTACGAAACCCTTCTCGCGGAGCATGGTGTCAAAGTTGAGGCCATCGGGCATGAATTAAGACCTGATGGGCCCCCCGGTGAAGATGTCGAGGAACTTGAGAACGATTTTGAAGGCCTTAAGACAACCCCTGAAGCTAGTTCATCCCCTGCACCGTCCAATTCAGAACAACGGTATGCATCCTGCAGACAAAGCATGTCGACGCCCATCGAAGTACTTATGCTCACATGATTATAGGACTGGCGGCGGGGCGTGGTTTTCTTATCACAAGGAGGTAGGCTGAGTTACCCTCTCACTCACTGCAACCGTCTAATATTCAACGTAGTTTCGAGCCAGTGAACACATGCTGCAAGATTCCTCTGATGATGAACCTGAAGTAGGCTCAAGTATCCATCGTGCTTTTGATCGAATGTTTGACACAGATGGATTTCCTTTCATCGTTGGAGCTGCCCCAGTCCCTATCGCGAATCTTCATCCTTCCACAATACACATCTTTCAGCTCTGGCAAATATATATCGACAACATTAATCCCCTGCTCAAGATAACACATGTCCCTACAGTTCAAGCACAGATCATAGAGGCGAGCTCTGATCTCGAAAATGCCCCAAAGAACATCGAGGCTCTCATGTTCTCCATGTACCTCATGGCGATCACATCGCTTGAGGATGCAGACGTTTACAAAAGGTTCAACGAGACCAAAAAGGAGCTCCTGGCAAGATACCATACTGGTACGCAGCATGCACTGACGAAAGCCGGGTTTATGAGGGTCAATGATCCTATTCTCTTGCAGGCGTATATTCTTTACCTCGTAAGTTTGACCTGAGAATTCTTTTGTGAATGCTGTCGCTTAACTTTTCCTTAGTTTGCTGTTCGATGGTTTGTTGACCCTCGTCAAGTATTCTGCCTCATTGGTTTAGCTGTCCGCATTGCCCAGCGGATGGGACTTCACCGCGATCCAGCCCAGTTTGGGCTGCCGCCATTTGAGGTTGAGCAGCGTCGCCGACTGTGGTGGACCCTTGTGGGATACGATCGACGGCTAGGAGAGATGGCCGGATCAACAGTCACTGCCCTCTCGACTGGGGGTGACTGCAAGATTCCCATGAACGTCAACGACTCGGATCTACATGTTGACGGTAAAGAGCTACCCACACCACACTCTGGACCAACCGAGATGCTCTTTTCTCTTACGAGAGTCGAGCTCGCTATGGCGGTTTCGAGCGATAGTAATCGCGACAGCTACAAAATGAACAACACAGATAAGAGTCCTGCTGGGACACCTGCTTCCAAGAACCAAGCTACCATCCGCCTTGCTGGTCAAGACGGCCCTGCCTATACGCTCGACGGTTTCTGTGCACACATAGAAGGCACTTACCTGAGCCAATGCGACCCTAAGATCCCCCTGCATTTCTTTACCCTTACCATGACTCGTCAAGCTATGTGCAAGATGCGAATCATTAGCTTCCTTGTTCGAATGCATAGCAATGACGACAACCTGCCCCTTAAAGACGTTGAACGCGACAGCCTCTTCTTGCAAGCCACGCAAATGATCGAATACGACAACGTGGTCCAGTCGTCCGAGTCCCTCCGGCCCTTCAAATGGTACTCTATGCACCACTTCCCCTTTCCAGCTTACATGTTTCTTGTCCAGGAGTTACGCCACCGCGTCTCTGGCCCAATGGTAGAGCGAGCATGGGATGCCATCGAAAAGAATCATGACCTCCGTGGCCTTCTCAATAACTACCACAATCCTATGCATATGGCTTTTGGTGGCCATTTTATTAAAGCCTGGGATGCGCATGAAGCTGCCTTGGTAGCTGCTGGCAGGCAAGTCCACAGACCAGCTTTCTTGGGACCTTTGCGTGAGCGTGTAGCAGCTCGCCGGCGAGCAAAGCAGGCCAATCGACCTGTTCCAAATCCCCCCCAGCCTCCAGTCGGCATACCACATTCTCAGGTCACGACGCCCTCTTCCACTGGGTTTGCCCCTTCTGTTGGCCACATGACGCCTGGAACTGTACACCATGGCCAACGTGCAAACTCGGGCTCCGTTGCATCCAGCGACGAGCCTGGTGAGATGGACTGGACTTATATGATGTCTGGTTACAACGACACTTCAAGCTTTACCCCCATGGGCGGATTTGGCAGCTTCAGTGGTGGCTTTGGAGGGGGTATGCCTGGTATGCCTGGTATGCCACCGGGGATGGGAGGTATGGGGCGCCCTCCGACTGGTAATCCTCCAGGTGGTCGTATGTATGGTGGGAATTAGGGCACCATGAGCGGTAATGTGACACGATATACGAGCGCCATTGTTCCTCTGTTTATTCGCTTTGGTCCTTCCAAATGGAATGCTTTATCTTGGACGTTGTTTACATGATAGTATTTGAGTATGATACAGTATACCAGTATCTAACATTCTATTTCCCCTGTGTTTCTTTTCCTTGGCAACTGCCTCACATACAGCTCACAATCCTAGCTCGAACTAGAATACGTGAATGACCCCCAGCACCATAATCACAAGAACTGTTTGTTCATGCTGCCATTTGTGCCGGACCCAAGACGGCCTCACATCAACCTATCTCCGACCCTTGGATAATGCAGTGTTCTAGTCAAGATTTCTAAGCTAAACAACTTAGTGGGCATAGCTGAGGACCACAGATCGGAAGCGCACCCAACTTATTCAAAAGGTGGCGTTTACTCATAGAAGCCCGCCAATGTTTGCTTACTAGCATAGATAATATGCCAAGATCAGCCTCAAATATCACTCACTGCAGAACAGTGGAGGCGTTGCCTGTCCCATCTTCACCTCAGAGCCAAGCCGATAGCTGTGCTAAACTGCGTGTGGAGTAGAGCTGAGAATATGATGTAGCGTTTCAGTTTGTCATGTAGTCGTTTCCCAATCACCAAGGCCAGATAGGTTAGCAGTCAGAGTACTGAGGTGTCACGCATTCCAAGTGGGGATAAAAGCATTGTGCAAGCTGGCAGTTTTGAGTCAGTCTGTGTCGGATGTCCGTTCGTAAGGGAGAAATTCTGCAGGGTGGCCATTTTGCTAAAGATTCTTCAGTGCCCTATTAAAGCGGCTTCTGGGCCCAGCAATCAATCCAGTCGAGTTGTGCGTGAATGCGAGTGTTGTTGAAGGTTTCGAATACGCTGTGCCCAAGCTCATATGCCTCTTCTTCTGTGACTCCCATGATGTCCGGACGGCCAAGCATTGCCGTGACCCATTCCTCGAGGATGTTTTGGGTGAAAATTCCCATTTCTCTCATTTTTGCTTCCTGGTGCCACCGGCCAACAGGGGTGTATGAATGGCGTTCATTGACATTGATGAATCCAACGTCACGCAGCGCTTCAACAATCTGGAACGGAAAGCGTAGATTCCAACCATATATCGTGGTGAAAGGGCCCTCAACAAGGCGGTAGAACTGGTTCATAGGATGATCGTCTCCGGCAGTACCGTCAACGGAGAAGACGAAGGGAACAATTTCGTGGATTTCAATCCAAGCACCAGGTTTCAGTTTTCTAGCAGCATTGAATGAGCTGGGGATACGACAAGTTGATTCCGGCACAACTTACTCAAAAGCCCTTTCCAATAGCTGTCTCGGTTTTCGCAGAGTCTGTAACAAGGCTCTGACATGAATTAAATCTGCATCTTCATATATCCTTGTCCATGGACGATTTTCATCCTCGAGATCTTCTACTCGAAACTCAACGTTGGGCGGCGTCCAATGTGGTTGGATGGGTGAAAGATCACATCCTATAACCCGTGCGCTGGGAAAGTTTTCGGCGACTAAGGTAGGCTCATTGTCAGCCTGAGAGTATTGCAATTGAGACGGAAAAACTGACCATCTTGTGCCCACATGCCAACACCTGTACCAAGATCAACAATCTTTTGCGGGTTGTCCCCGATAGGGGCCAGAAATAGCTTTCCGTCGAGGAGATAATCTAGGTACAGCTTATGTTTCAGGCCCTCGCGGACCTGCTCAGCATCGTCGTTTGGTAGGCCATAACGACCACAGAGAAAGCCTTGATATCGCCTAACAGATTAGCATTCATCGACGGGGTGTAACAAGAATCAACAACACACCTTCCATGTTCGTAGGAGTAAAGTTCCCTGGTATTAACTGAAGTAAATTCGGAGGTTGCTATTGAATCCCCATAGTCTGACGTTGGGTCCTCTTCTGGGTCTCTGTGGTCCATCGCTATGGAACCTCTGCTTCAAGTCCCCCTTGAAGGATCGTGCTCGAGAAGAGACAAGTTAAGTGGGAAGGAAATAGTATTTGATGTGAATACATGAGCTCGGCAGAAAAGCAGTAGGTAGGTACTGTGGCAGGAAGCTAAAAGAAGGGCAGAATGATAGGACAGGCCTTGGTGGGTCAAGCATACATACATATGCCGGTGACAGATACCCAGACCTAGGTTGTCCCGATGGTAGGGCACGTATGTCGCAGGGGAAGCCTGTTCATAGGCAGGGGAGGCTAACACTGGGAGAATGATATGTGACAGGGACGGTCGAGAGAAGCAAGCACGCACGTCAATACCAGGTATCGACCAAACCAGCCTGTATGATAGGGCCTCGTTGAACGAAAAGTTGCACAGAGCGAGTGACAAGAGTAACAAGACCCAGCAACCCGGACTGTGTGGAGGGGACTAACCGAGTGAATGGTCCCAGCTAGCCAATACGATGAGAGAACGGCCAAGGAGGATTTCCAGAAGAACGGAATGGAGGGTCGGCGGTGCAGGGAGACCCAGAATCCCAGACAACCGGTAAGCTCGTAGCAGACAAGACAGACGGTCGGTGCGGGATAGGCTCTTGGGTTAAGCGGTATGGCCCCGAGCCGTCGGGACAAACCGAAACTCTTTTGAGAAGAGTTCACACTGATCGGCGGCCGTAATGCGACCCCAGTTGTGACGTGGTCGAACGAGCGAGCGAGCAAGCGGATGAGTCCAATGTAATAACAAGGCAGCTAATAAAGCTGAGACAACAGGTACAAAATGGCAACCGTTCTTGACTGTGATAGAGGAACGCCGACAAGAGACAGTGCTATGGTTAAGGATAGAAGGTTTTCGTGTGAAGATTTGGAGAAATTCAAGTCGTATTGATCGCGTCTCGTCTCGTCTCGTCCGTCAACTTTAGTTGCCCTATGTTCCAATTTGACGGATATATGAGTTATACCTTGTTGGCTTTGAAGCTGATGAAACTTGGGTGGGAATGTGGCCGGTCTAATACAACGATAGATCATGCCACGCTCTCGACCATTCCGCTTCTGAGAGCCATTAATTCACGCAGTTGGAGCAGAAGAGTGAGGCGAATAAAAGGCGAGACCTTTCCGTCACCGATTCTGGCCCGAAGGTGTTGTGCTCTACCAAAGGTAAGAAAGATACCGTGCCAGGTGGCTCCCAATAAAACCGGGATTCAAATGAGGGTTGATAAAAATAACCAGCCACACTACCGGGTATAGCGGCCAATAAGTGATCTGAATTTTATGTCACTTTTCTTTTTCTTAGAGCTTCAAATCCCAATTTTTTTGGTACCCACTTGCGTGCCTACCTAGGTAGGTAGTTGAGTAACGGCAATAACAGTACCGTACGTATGTACGCATTCTGCATAACTTGGTGCAATCACTGCAATAATGCCATCCCATCCAATCCCACAGTGGGCCAGTCTCCATTTGTGTCCTGCCCACTGTCACTTCGGAGCGGAGGATGTTGGGGTCGTCCACTCCTCTCCGTCACGGCAAGGGAATGCTCCGTGAATGCATTGTGTCCTTGTGTAGTAATGCAGAACTGCCGTACTTGACCAGATCATTGAACTATTTCTGTTAAGTAACGCGGAAAAGGGAATGTCCACTTCCGCTGAAACCATGGTCAAGGATTAGGTGCTCGAGATAGATGCAGTAAGATATTTCAGTACAAGTGATGCATGCATCCATGGATACCTAGGTAGTCGAGGTGGTAGGTAGGTTATACGGAATAGAGAGCCAAGAGACATCCAAAAATCTCTGTCGAGATAATAACAAATATGGCGCTGGGTGTCCCTACAGCCTTAGGTCGAAAATGCAGTACGAACCACAAGTCATAGAGCCTCGGTTTCGAATTATAGGTAAGTACTACCTAGGTAAGGTAGGTAGTAGGTAGGGAAGAGTTGAGTGCTGTGCCGTCTGAAGGGCTAGGAGCTTCGGATAACCCATCAAGATATCCGAACTGACTTGACCAGGGGGCGCCTGACGATATTTCTGTTTCGCACAAGTTTAAATATATTGAGAGATCTCAAAAATTGGAAGCGTAATCGAAGATGAGTAACTGGAGAGATAGTGAAGTGATATGAATAGGTACCCTTGTAGGTGACCACTATACATACCTACCTAGGTACCTTAGTATCTCTTACACAAGCATGAAGGCACGGATAACGTAAACCAAGCACGGTCAGAATACTTTGGCTTTTCGTGCATAGATATTTGTATTCATGCCCAGGCAAGCAAAGGTTGGTGATACGAGGACTGACTGAGCAGTGCGAGCTCAGCTCAAAGAGTAAGTCGAATTCTTTTCCATTTCGATTACTTACTACCTAGGTAGGTATCCAATTCTATATGCAAATCTTGAGGACCTAGGTACCTAGGCATGGGACGATCTTGTCTTCTATAAATGGAAGGAGGGGCAAGCCACTTCCATTCCGCTACGGAGTACAGAGTATGCTGGGCCAATTTACACGCTCGGGACAGGGAAAGCGCGTCATTCAACCGCCCAAGCCAGGCCAAGCCCAGCCGAGTCGCGTCGCCAAAAACACGTCGGACCAAATTGATTTTCAACGTCTGAGCAACCAAGACCAAGAGCCACTGTAGCACAACCAGCAGGCATAACGAGAGATAACGCCGTCTGTACTTCTACGCTTCGAGCATCTTCATTTCTCATTCCGATAATTGTAACCTATTTATTTTATTTTAAAGGCCCTCACTGTATCATTGTTTATTTCCCTTCTCGACTTTTTCTCGTCTACTTTACGCGATCGTCGCGTCCCAATCCCCCCCCTTGACGATACAACGCCGTTTGCCGTTATACAACTCTCACTCACCCTCATGAAACTTGTGGCATATAGACTTGGCGAACGAACCGCTTCCTTACTATCGTCGACATGTATCTCCCGCGGCAGTTGATCTCTAAACTCTATGTCCACCTCCAACAAACAAGACACCCGCTCTCCCCACCAGTACTTATTCTCGTCGCTCTCGAACCCGATGCTCTCTGTGCTTGCAGGATCCTAACCCGGCTACTGAAACATGACTATATTCCCCACAAAATACAGCCTGTTGCTGGTTATACAGATCTTGAGAAGGCTGGCCGCGAATTGGTCGTGCCCATGATGGAGTCTCAGGGAGGTGGTGGTGGTGTCGTCGTATGCCTTGGTGTTGGGGGTATGGTTGATCTGGGGCCACTCCTTGGCCTTGAGCCTGAAGGTGACGACCAGCCATACAGTGGTGTCGAGGTCTGGGTTATGGACGCTCATCGGCCATGGAACCTGGGAAACGTCTTTGGCGGGTTTCCCCTAGACCCCGAAACGGAGGTCTCATCGTCTTATCAGTCGAGGTGCCCTACTGGTGTCAATGGTGGCATGATTGAGTCAGCATTTAAACCTGGTAAGGGTGGCATTATTGTCTTTGATGACGGTGATATTGTCGACGATATGCAAACTGAGCGCAATGCATATCTCGAATTGATGGAGATGCCCGAAATCGACGACGATGGTGAGGACTTGGGAGACACCGACGATGAGGACGACGACGAAAATCCAAACGATATCACCCAAGAGCCTATTCGTGCAGGTCAGAAGCGAAAAAGCTGGTCAGATGCAGAGGACGAAAGCGACGATGATAGGCCTCACCAACGGCGAAGGAGTAACTCTGTATGTCGACTTGAACGAATTACAATTGGGCTTACTGACATTTCCTTGCAGTCTAGCCCTATCGCTGAATCACCTCGACGCCCACAGCAAAGAGGGCTTGTATCAATGCGACAGCCCGATCTTGGTCTGTCAAGCGATGCTATCGAGCCTCCCTCCGGAGCACAGCTACCTGTAGGGCCGTCACTCCGCGCACAAAGGAGACAGCTCCTGCGGTTAAGACAAAAGCACGAGGCAATTCTCCACCAATATTACAAAGTTGGATCTTCTTTCTCGGAACCGTTATCATCGATGATGTATTCGCTTGCCTCTGATCTTGGTAGAGCAGACAATGACCTTCTATGGCTATCTATAGTTGGAGTCACATCTATGGAACTCTACGGTCGTTCATCGGCGGGTATTGCCGCGCCTGTCAGACAGAGTGATAAGAGCCGCCCAACAGGTTGGTTGGGCGCTCGAGGTGCTAGAATACGTCAAGAGTTCCGTGATGAAGTCAGGCGGCTGAACCCTCCGGAACTTGCGAATGGGCGTGTTGCTGCAGAAAATACAGGCGTGATTCCTACTACAGCGAGGAACCCTGAAGACACCGGAATTCGGCTGTCCCCTGAGCCCAGATTTTTGTTGATCAGGCACTGGAGCCTCTACGACAGTATGCTACACTCGCCATATCTCTTTTCTCGCCTCAAGACTTGGAGCGAAGCAGGAATCAAGCGACTTCACAAGTTACTTGCAAAGATGGGGGTCAGCCTGGCACAGTGCAAGCAGAGCTATACTCACATGGACATGATGCTGAAACGTGAGTTAAGGGCAAAGCTCTTAAAATACGGCTCACTTTACAACCTTGACGAGATGGTACCGTCCGTTGATACAGATGGTAAAGACCGTGCTGGCGCGAAGGACGGGTGGGGATTTGTCCGAAGTTGGGGATGGCGAGCAACGCTGAGTGCCCAGGATGTGGGAGTTGTTATCGGTGCGCTACTAGAAGTTGGAAAGCATGTTCAGAATCCAGATCCCGCCGTAATAGCAAGCCAAGCTGGTCGAGACGCAGAAGAGGAGGCCGAGTTTGCAGCCCAGGGCGAAGAATGGATTGAGCGGTTCTGGGAGGCATATGACGCGCTTGAAAAGTAAGTTCAATCCGTTGAAGACCTATTCTCGTCGCTGACTTGGACAATAGTATCGACGCGCTGAAGGCCGGTCTTCCTACTGCTCAGTTCCTCCATCGCGCCATCTACCGGACGGGAACATCTCTTATCAACAAAAAGCAAATCAAGCATCTTCGTGCATTTCGCATGTGTGTGGTCAA